CTGGCCTGGATGCGAGACAAGAAAATATAGTGGCAACAAAACATGTGAAGGATGTTACTGATGTCGAGCAAGTCTTGGTCTTCCAGAGAGTGCAGGATGTAGTAATATAGACCAGTAACACTCATGAAGACATCACGCCACAGGCGCTCGATCCTGGATTTGGAGGGGGATTAAATAAAAGAAAATTATAATATACACACAAATTTACATGTCCATACATCCGTTTTCAACTTGAGTTATCTTTTGAATGGTCGCAGGTAGGGCTGCAACTAACGATTATTTTCATAATCGATTAATCTGTCGATTATTTTTTCGATTAATCGATTAATCGGTTTGTTATTGTTTAGCTATTTAACCTATACAAGTGATGGATGCATTTCAGTTAAGAACAAAAAAACATAAGAGAATTGTGCAGTTGACTGCAATCTATTTTATTGCACATGAACACAGTCAGCAGTATAAAATGAGCTAAACAGTGCAAAATATCAGTCCAGAATAATTTTTAGCATTAGCTGGAAGCCTGCTCCTTCCACCATGGATAGTGGCCTCATGTCTTTTACCAGCATGTTTAGAATAGAGTTTGTAAGTGGTATGAATTGCTGGGGGGTGAGTGTCTTCTTCCCCATGTAGTTGTCCATCGTTGCTTGTTTTTTTCTGCATAAGAAACACAAATAGACTGAAATAAGTACACATATAAAATAAAGCAGCACACACACTACAACACTAAATCAATATTATATTATTTGAATTATTTAACAATATACAGTGATCATTTATTTTGAGGGTTACGTTCTACAAAATAGCCCGCAACAGGAGATATTCAGAAAAAAAGTAAAACATTTTTTTACTATTAAAAAGCTCTAAGTAAGAAGCTCATGAGGTTTTTACTTTGAGTCGGGAGTGTTTAAATTAGCCAGAGAAATGTGAAAAATGTTTATTTTGTGTAATACTGTTTAAGAAACATGATAAAAATGTGTTGTGAGGCGTTTTACAGCGTTAGATAGTAAAACAGCCTTTTAATAGTAAAAAAATGACTTTTTCTGAATTTCTCCTGTATTTAAAAATTGAAAGCGTACAACTATGCAACGTTATATTCACCTGGACACAGCTTGTCTGTATATTTTTCTCCGCGGAGTTGTCCTTTTTTGAATGAGGAACATAGTTATGGGTTTGTGCCGTTTTTCTCTTAATGAGAACATTCTTATAAACAGACGTGCTAAATTTGGCAAGCGCATGATTCACAACACAGAGGAGATTCACGATTGCATCTAGTCAATCAGAAGTAGAACACCGCAGACTGACGCGGCAAAAAAACATGTTTAACATCCACTATAACGAACTCAGCTAAAACACTAAGTCCAGCTTGTTTATTTTCTGTTACTTACCGGGCTGGCTCTTCCAAATGACGGCTCACTTGACCGCGGTGCTCTTCCTCTGCTGCATCAGCCCCCACATGCTTTCGTCTCAAATGTGCTCCCATACTCGTGAGGTTTTTGTCCGGGGTTTCTCTTCAGTTTTGTCGCTTCTATTTTTCTTCCGTATTTCCTCTTGTTCCGCCATCTCTCACAGCAAGATGAGCGTCAGTAACGTGATACGTCATGAAAACCGAGGGCACCCATTGGCTCATTTCTTCTTCTACGGCTCCACTGGTAGATCAGTGGCTCATTACTGCCACACACTGGCGGCAAATTTAACAGCTTGTAACCGATGTCAGATTGTGGTAAAAAATAGACTTTATGCGGTAAAATATGATTATTAAACAACTAATCGATGACTAAAAAAGTTGTTAACTATTTTAATAATCGATTATAATCGATTAAATCGATTAGTTGTTTCAGCTCTAGTCGCAGGAGGACTGGTGCCTATCTCTAGCAGTCAAAGTGTGAGACGAAGGGTGCACCCTGGGCAGGTCAACAGGCACAGGCACGCGCGCACAGACACAAAGCTTCCAAATTAGGTTAAACTCACCGTTGATTGTGTACACTTTTTCCTGCAATGAAGCTGTTGGTGTCAGTTCCACGAACTGAGAACATTAATTCTGCAACACCTACATTTTCTCCGCCATGATCTCCTCTCACCATGAAAAAAAAAAAACATTAGAATCTCGCTTCAAACATTTTTAATGCACATCTATAACAATCTACATCAATTTGAGTCTCACAGAAATTTCCTTATGTACCTTGCTACTAAGTGAGTAAACAATAAACAATGTGGCATTATTAACCCTCTGCTGGGGAAATTTTTTTTGAAAGAGGGAAATGTTCACCCCCCCCCCCCCCCATAGATTTTACTATATGACCTCAAATGGCATGTTATCTTTGATCAATAACACACTTTAGGCAAAAGCAGATTTGTAACAGGGTAACAGAGGGTAAAGTTGAGAATAACATGAATACCTCAGAGGAAAGCCATGCTCATTCACAGCTTCACTGAAGAAGGCAAGGTGGGTGTCTGCCCGGTTGTTGTCAGCTACCTTCAGGTACATGATCTATGTAATTCAAGCACAAACACTCTCATATGACACATTTTATAGGGGTCAAAACAATCAATTACCAAATGAAAGGTACAACAGCCATACAATAACATGTTAGATAATTAAATAAGTTAAGATCTGTGAAAACCAATAATAGCAATTATCTTCTATGAAAATATCTCAGTTATTAACGTTCATGCTTTTTCAAGCTCAGTTCGCTCCACTCTGATGGTCACCTGTTCCAGCCAGATACCTTCTTTCTAGGCGTTCAAAGTCGGAAACTCGCTGAGTAAACTGGGCGCTTAGAGGAGTATCTTCAGTTGTTTAAGACTGAGGGTAACGCTGCACACGCTGATTCGACTAGCATGGATGCTAATGATGTTAACATAAAAGAGGGCTTGCTTCGTCTCGCGCGCTAACGCCGCAAAGCACTATGGGATTAGTAGTCTTATTAGCGAAATCGCCCGGCGGGCCAGTTTAATATTATATATTTGATATTTGATTTCGCGGGGCAAATAAAAATAGACCAAGGCCTTGAGTTTGACAACCGTGGCCTAAAAAAATGGTACCTAGATACGCTAACTAAACAAATGTTCACTTGAGTTTAGCTTGATGTTAAACTAGATGAAGAATGGACCAGACTTCACGTAACGTCTGGACTGAATTTAACATAAAACATTTTACTTGATCATGAAGAACGCTTCTACTCATAATTCTATAACATTGCATCAATTACAACGAGGGAATAAGATAAAACTATTACTCACAGATTGTGACCGGTCCATCCTGCTCTGCCGCGTGAACTGCAATGCGCATGCGCACAGCAGATCTGTTCTGTGACATAAGGAGCCATATGATTGGCTGAAAGCGAACAGCCCTGGCAGAAGCATATATTTGATTGACAGGTTCATTAGCCAATGGTGACGTTTGTTGACCTGCGACGTTAGGAGAGTCTCAAAATTCAGCACACCGATTTCTCTCACGAATGCAGGAAGGTTCACAAATGAGAAGCTGTCCGTGAATGCACCACACAGATTTCACTCACAAACGCAGAAAGGTTCACAAATGAGAAGCTGTTCGTAAATGCACGTTCAGCAATTCGTATGATCTGAGTTTATATTACAAGTGTTCTTACAAATTATATTTGTGAACCACAGAGTGTGAACTTCAGAATTAGCGTGTGCATTTGTGGAAAATGTTGCGTGACTTATTTTTTCACATTATATTTATGAGTCAAAGAGTGTGAATTTCCGAATGAGCGTGTGCATTTGTGTTCCTCCGAATTATATTTGTGAAACACAGAATGTGGATTTCCGAATGAACGTGTGCATTTGTGGAAAACGTTGTGTGACTTAATTCTTATTGAGACTGTTCTGGCCTCATAAAAAAGCACTGCAAAACATGTTGTCCCAATTCTAGCTTCCTTCCAAAGAACCAATGGCAGGCTTTGTCTTTTTAGCCAATCATGAGTCTCAGATATAAAATCCTTCTTTATTTCAGAATGTAAGTTCTTTGTTTACATCAGTTTAATTTTTCAAAAAATTCCTGCCACCTACTTGTAAAGAGTGAATATGTAAAGATGTTTGGTTGCAAGAAGTACAACAGACCTCTGCCCCATAACATGACTGGAGAGGAATCCAAGACTCATGATGGGCTGGTCAGACAAAACCCGTCATTGGTTCTTTGGGAAAGGCAACTAGACTTGGGACAAAATAATTTGCAACACGTAGATTTAAGTTTTGAAACTGTAGATTAAGGTGTGTGTTTGATAGTTGTAATTTGAAACTTGTACATTGATTTTTTTATGCATATTAAAAAGTGAAAGTTTCATGTTGCATACCAAAAGTTACATGTTACAAAATGAGAATTAAGTGTTACAAAACAAGTTATTTGTTATAAATTGTGAATCACTTGTTACGAAACGAGTGTTACAGTTATAAAATGTTACAAGTTATAAAACTTGGTAGAAGTTACGTGTAATAATGTCCCAATCGTAGCTCCATAGCACCATCAGTTGTTCCACTACACACCTGTAGAAATCCTGACAGCACTGGTTGATCTCTGTGGGTCTTCTACAGGTCACGGTTGTTTGTTTCAGCCAAATTTGGTACAAACGTTTGATTTTCAGCATCTTTTCTGTGGATGTTATTTGAAATAAAATTGTAATTAGATTACATTATATGGCTAAACCCAATCTTAACCTGGCTCTGAAATGTGGTCACACAGTCATTTTTTGTGCTTTCATACAAGCAGCAGCAAATTTGGCTTCAGGAAGTGTTATTCAGAGCCAGCAAAAAAGAAAATAAATTAAAAAGAAGAAAAATCAAAACAAGTCCAAAGAAAAATACAAACACAGACAAAAGTCATTTTCTTTTCCAAAATGTTAAATCATTAGATGTATGTAAAATTGCTTGTTTTTTATTTGCATTTGATCAATTCAATGTGTATGCTGGGCCATGGCTGTGATCTGCTGAAGCACCTGTAGGACACTGTGTGTATTCACTTTTTAATGTATTCATGATTGCAGAGAGTTCAGCCACTGGAAGGTGAACAGCCTGGCCACAGAAAAGAGAAATTTCCTCAAAGCTCCGTTGCCCTTGGCACCAGAGTTCCTACGCAACCTGCGGTTACTGGGGAGACGGCCAACCCTGCAGCAAATCAACGAAAACCTCATCAAGAAATATGGGACCCACTTCCTAGTTTCTGCTACCCTGGGAGGTAAGTAAGAACTCCAGGTGATTGCCTTAATCCCCGAGTTAGGAAGTGCTGAGATGCACCAAAAATAGAAGAGTTCCCTTTTTTAGTCTTCGGAGGATCGGTAGTCAGTGTAGCTCTGCAGAGAAATGCCGAGCGTGAAGCTGCATTTGTAATAAGACCTAGCCCTGGCACCTCTCAGGACTGAACTGGTGTTGTCTTCTGCAGCTGCAAATTTCCACTCATGCTTTCCTCTGATGGTCATCACACACACACACACACACACACACACACACACACACACACACACACACACACACACACACACACACACACACAGCTGCAGCAGTCACACAGCAGTGGAGGGACCGAACTGACCTGTTTCTTTGAAAAGCTTTGTCCTTTTTAGCCTTCCCTTAGGCAGGGTGCCATTCACAAAACACAAATATTGATCGCATGTGCCTCACTAAAACAAGCCCAATGGTTGTTTAATGCTCAACGTGATCACTTCGTGGCACTGAGATCCTGTATAGAGCTTTGCTCATTACACTGCAGACTACTTGTCAGTCTGTACTAACATTTGGAGTTTTTTTTTTTTTTATTATGTGGTCTCGGGACCAAAACTCCATTTATGCATACTGGTTATGGAGCAGACCAATCCAGTTTCCAACATGTTCTCAACCTCTGCTCTGATTCTATATGTGCATCTGCAGACACCAGCCAATGCCGCTGTGTGTTTCCGTGTTGGCACTGGAAAATCAGTATAGGAGATGAAGAAGAGATGAACGCAGTGTCACAGTGATGGGTAGATGCTGTGTGTAATTAACAGTGGAGAGCCAGGCTGCATACAGATGACTCTGTAGCAGAGCAGAGGTGCTACTTCCTGGTGCCCGTCTGTTGTTGTCTTTTGTCCTGTCATTTTTACTCCTTTGTTTTTGGGCAACCAAATCTAAACTGAACAAAATTATTCAATGAATACAATTTGATTCAATAAAGTGGTTATTTTGTAATTCATGAGAAAAAAGAAACATCTTCTATGTTTAATGGGAAAAACTGACTACCCAGCAAGCAGCCGCAACATTAAGACCATGTTTTATTATTGAGTAAAACTGCAAACTTTTACTTTCAGTATAATAACCTTTACATTACCACCCCATCTAAACATTTCTGAAGATAATTCAGCTCCCTCAGTTGTAACAACAGTTTTCTCTTCAGGAGAATTTTTTTGGGTCAAAAGCAACCCCTCCACCCACCCACTCCCAAGAATAAAGAAAGGAATCTTAATGAGGGCTCTGTTGACACAAAGCCAAGTGTTGGGTTGTGTTTATCAGACTTCCAAACTCAGTAGATTCCAATCTGGTGGTTCCTAACCCAAACCCAATCAGATTTAGTTACAAAGGGTCCAAGACAGTTGCTAAAGTCCTGACACCAGTCGCTCCAGCATTGTCTAAAGCAGGGCTATTCAATTGCAAGCCTGGAGTGATGATATCCAGCACGTTTTGGTTTTAACTCCGCTTCAACACACCTGATTTCAATCAGCAGGTGATTTACAGGCTTCTGCAGAGCCTGATGAGCTGCTGCAAAGGTAATTCAACCACTGAATCTACTGGATACCAGCCTTTGAGGCCCGGAATTGAATCGAACTGATTTAAAGGATTTTTGTAAATGTCCTGATTGATCAGAGTTGTCTGTGATGCAAAATAATAAACTACCCAATGGAAGCTTGCCTTTAATATTACAGCTAATCCAAGTTCTGTAAAACACACAGTATACAGGTGATTTTTAATACTATTCACTGCATTTTCATTATTTCTGGGTAACTTGAATGTCTCCTGACTCTTATTAAAATTATAGCTTCTGATATAATACCATGCATGTAAACAAGCACATTTTGTTTAATTGGGGCAAATTAAGACATTGTAAAAAGAAAATAACTGGTTTAATGTAAGATTTACAGTATTTGGGGATTGTGATTAATTGCATAGGCAAATTTTAGTAAAACATGTTTCAGCAAACAAATGTTGCTGAATACATTCCAACTTCATGTTTCTTATAAATCTGTGAGTTGTATCTAAGTGGTGAATCGGGCCCAATTTTCCCTGCAAACAGCAATTTTTCATTTCTTCTATTGCCCAGTTAAGTTTTGTACCTCAATAAAAGTAATTTCTGTCTGATCTTCAGTTCCTCCTTAGTAAACTTCTGTTCTAACAAGTCTTGTGTTCTGTGGCGCTTCATGCTGGAACATCAGTTCTAGAAGGGTTTGCAGCATTTACATAGAGTTGCAAGAACATTTTTCCAAAAATTATTTTAAAGGGATTTTTGAATTTGCTGTATAAAGGTTTAGGCTCCATTACTTTGTCCACTTGCAGTGGCGGTTTTACCATTAGGCATACGTCCACGGCCGCCTGGGGCCCCCTAGCCCTGACCGCCGGCACCCCTCTGTTAATGCCACAATATTCTTATTACCAACCTGTCGCCGCATACGGGATTGGATATGCACATTTCTCATTACCATAATTCCTGAACTGTTCATGATATAATTAAAATTCCAAAAGTGCTGAAAATATTAAAAATGGGGCTTTTCGTGCTTATACAATACTTTACGGTAGCCACCGGGATTCCCGGTCTTGAGCGCAACGAATCACAACACAGATTCAGAGACGTGCTGAGTTTGTCATCCAAAATGCTACGTTTTATAACTTTTGAATGGCTGATCAGATTCAACAAATTCCAACGGTTCCTAAAAGTACCTAAAAGCAGCTTTCCAACGGTCTATAGCATGAAGCAATCAGAGTTATGGAAAATATTGCTACGAGGGAAATTCCTGCTGTACAGCCTGATTGAAACGGAGCGGTGAAAGCGGATAACGGAACGGGGAAGCTAATTAGCATAAAAAGCCAACATGAAATTATGGAAATGCCTCAAATAAAATCAACACAATCTATTAGGTGTCCCAGAAGGCTTATATCTGCAGACAGTGACCATGAAAGAAGGACAGATCTCCAGTGAACCAGGGTATGAATGTTTGTTCAGTCTTTAATTTTTATATTTTTATTTGAACAACCCTCAACTATTTGCTAATTGTAAGATTCAGCTTCATTCTAGCATTATTTATCTTTTTACAATAAATAATTATTTTTGCTGAAACAATAGCTTTTGGTATAGCAGTGCACAGTGTGCAAGAGAAGCACCCCATGGCAGTGTGAGGTGCGCAGGACTCTACCTGCAGCTAGAGAGAAACTGCTTCAAGGTCTACCACATCAAATAAAAACGTCAGAAAGTTTACAAAAACAAATGGTCTTAAAAACTGCTAAAAAAAGATACCAAGGTTCACACTTTTTAAGAATAGATGCATTACAGTTCAAAGTGTAAATTGTTGGCCCAGTAATTTTGAAGTTCCTGTTCAGTAATAAATGTAAAAAATTCAAATCTGTTTTATTGCTTTTTTCACTTTTAAGCTGACTTTTTAAAGGCTTTAATAGAAATACATTCTAAATACAAACCATACACTGAAAGCTGAGGCTGTTCTGAAAAAAAGGAGAAGAGTTACACACACTTTGCACTTTTTATTACAATTTTACAGCCATAAGATTTAAAAAATACTAGGCAGCCCAGTTATAGTTATGGTCATAAGAGGGTTATTAAGACGGCGATGCACAAACAGGAAGTGATTGGTAGTCATTCCACTCCAATCCAGTTGGTGGCGGTAATACACCAAATTGTTGTTTGGCAAGTGCCACAAGACCACAAATAAGAAGAAGAAGAGAGGCGGGAGGATATGTAACAAACTCAAAGCGATAGTCAAAACATGAAGCATGAAATGGAGTTATCCTAGTGGCTCCAATAAGAGAAAAAAAGCAGCTTGCTTCATAAAAGCTTTTATTTTCACTTCTGAAAGTGACGTCTATTTCTATGTAAACATCAAAAGGAAGCAGAAAAGAAAGACAATGGAAAATGTTTAAAGGGAGGAAAACATAGACCAAAATGGAAAATAGAAAGAAAAAAAACAAAGGCAAAAGCATAGGAGCGCTGACAGGAAAAAGAAAGCAGAGCAAATATTGAAAGCGCTCAAAGGGAGGGAAATACAGGAAAAAAGAGGGGGACTAATAAACAGGGAAAATAAATCACGTCAGAAGAGGGGAGAGTTTCGCAAATCCAGTTAAAGGTAAGATTGTCGAAAATTTAGTGTAAGGGGCCCCATGTCTGTGTTCGCCTTGGGCCCCCAAATTGCTAAATCCACCACTGTCCACTTGACATATTTGTCCAGGTGAACAACCTGAAAACTTAAATTCCTGATGCTGATATGGATGCTAGTTTTAAATGGCAACCTGCAACAGCTTTTTCAGTGCTGAGCATTTTCTGACTTTCCCCACGAGATACTAGAATTTCACACAGTTTGGATGAACTATGGGCCAACTGAGCTTGAAAGAAAGAAAGAAAGAAAGAAAGAAAGAAAGAAAGAAAGAAAGAAAGAAAGAAAGAAAGAAAGAAAGAAAGAAAGAAAGAAAGAAAGAAAGAAAGAAAGAAAGAAAGAAAGAAAACGTTACTTTATATGGCATCTCTCAAGGTAAAAATCACGAGGTGCTTCACACAAAAAAAATATTTTAAAGAGGCATTATGGAAGTTTGACAGCCAAAACATGTATAAAAATAATAAATTTCTTCTTCATACATTCTCCTGCAATGCCCTGGTCCTGTAGAATGAGCCCTGGCATTTTTACTGTGATTGCCTGTTTTCCTGTAAAATCACAGAAAAAGAGAGCTGCTCGGGTCGAGCAGGCTGCTTCATGCGCGTTCACACTCCGGCATAGCCCGTAGCGTTTGCTATCCGTAGATTTAGCAGCAGAGAGAGAGGTAGTACCAACTCAGCCACTTTGTCGCTGTTCCTAACGCCTAGTGATGAATCTAGCTACATTTCTGAGGACCCTTAGCTGCTTTCTGTAGAACTGTCTTCTAGATATTTCCTGCAAATTAGCAACAAAATAGCCATTTTCACTCCGAAACGTTCTTTGGATTGACATTGTTTCAGCTGTCATCAAGGATATAAATGTTACTGATACAAAGAACATCACTGGCACTTTAGCTCACCTAGTAAGATGTCTGACTCTCTTGTAGGAGACCTGGTTTTGATTCCGGGTGTGAATAAAGTTTGTTATCTGGAGTTTCTTTTTTACATTAATAATTTTTTTACAGTAATGAGACGCCCAAATTTTTATTTGAGACTCGCCGAACGGCATTGAATTCACAGATAAAAAAGATGTGGGTTCAACTTTCATTTTGGAACTATTTTTCAAGCAAGGGAAGGGAATGATCTGAGCATGCAGGAGAGCTGACCCATCTTAAACCTTTGCCGGCTGTGCTGAAGAGAAAGGTACAGAACCAAATTATTTAGTTAATTAGCTGCACATTCTCCTGTCCTCTGTCCTCCGGGCCACACACACACACACACACACACACACACTGCACGTTCGGCCGGCCGACGAGAAAGTGCAGCTGCAGAGACAGAGGGACATTATTTTTATTAATTTGCTGTGTTCTTCTGTCCTCCAGGCCACACACATACACACACACACACACACACACACACACACACACAGCACACACACACACGGGACTGTCTCAGCTGTTATTTTCGTTAAGGAGTGTGCACGTACAGCATGCGCGCCTCGTGCACGAGCCTACTATTGAAGCTGCCGTTACGCTTTTGGCCTGAGGGGGTAATCGCGAGCATAAAAATTCAAAAGTCCGAAAATTTTGAAAAATGAAAGAACAAAAAACAATTTAAAATGTCCCAGAAAGAATAGTTGAGTAAATAATGTCTGGCCTACCTAGGTCTAACACAGATTATTTGACCAAAGTTACCAAAATCAAGTAACAAGCACTCTAATTCTCATCCCTGTATAATTAATTATAATACCATTCAGTCCAATTTGATTGATGTATTCATCTCATGTAAATTCCCAGTTCAGCTATGCCTTATTTATAAGATATGAGGCAAACATGCTTTATATTTTGTCTGACATTAAATGCTTACTTATTTGAAATTTATTTGATATTGTCATCCCTCATCTCTATGCTTCTTAGACGTGGAAGCTGTTTTGTTTTTGTAGTTTCCTGGTTATCCACAGAGCTGAGTAATAGCTTATCATTTAAAAGGGAAATATCAGCTTGGGTTTCTGCTGATTGATGGAGACTGATTGGCAGTGTTTGCTGTTGTCTAATGGGACATTTTGTCTGTTTCATAAAGCAATGGTGTCACTTTGCTGCAAAGCGGAGGCGGCATCCGGGAGCTTTTGGTCTCTTCTAAGCAGTCAACCTGTAGCGGTAATGTGGCGCCATCATGTGCTTTTCACAAAATATTACGTGATGGCAGTATAAAGGAGGTGTGGTGGTGTCATGCTGTCGTAGCAACACATTCTCACACCCAAAGCTTTGAAAATTTTGTTTCCGAGCCGATGTGCTGTGCCATAGTGTTGGTTTCAGATGCCCACGGTGAAGCAGAGATTTTACTACATTCTGACGTTTACCTTCTTGCATTTTAACCTTCCCCTCACCCCATCCTAACCTTACCCCTCTTGTGCATTCAAAACTTTGTTCTTAGTTGAAACGTCCCTCTTCAACACGGTTAACGGGAAGTTTAGAATGAGCAACAGGGTTATGGTCAGGATGGGGGTGAGGAGAAGGTTAAATAGCAAGGAGTTAAAGGTTAAATGTTGGTGAAATGTTCATTTTACCGCTGGCGTCTGAAAACAACGCTCTGGCACAGCGCGTTGGCTCCTGACGGAATCACATGCTTGGTCACCCAGCATCAGTTTTTGACACTTCGGGTTTGAGAATGTGTTGGTCGCAGACATCCTCGTTTTTTATCTTAATTGATGCTGCGCTCCGTGAGCCAATCCAAGAGGTGGCAGTCCTTCACAGTTCTCGTAAACCATCTGGCGGTCTGTGCTTCAGCTCTAATAGCTCCCAGCTCTTTCCATTGCTCCAGTTTGCCATTTGCACTGAAACGGTTAACAAATGCAAAATGGGCTCCCGATGTTTGGGCTCGGTACACATTCAACATGTTATCATGACATCACCCTCTGTTGCACAAAGGCGTGATCTTTATTCAGAAGTCCGGCGTTGCAGTAATAATCCTATGAAGCCTGGCGGCATAAATGCCTCAAAAGTCTCTCCTCGCCATGCTGCCACGCCACTTTCAAAGAATGCCTGACAAGCCGGCACCATGGCGTGTCTTTTGAAACCAGAGTAGATATCACGATGCAAAATAGGTTAAGTTAAGAAAACCCCTAATTCCTTTAAACAGAAAGAGATGAATCAACAAGATTGTTGTCTCAAACTGTCACATACTACAGAAAAGCCCAAACATCACAGCAGAAACACCACAAAACCATAGTTAGGCTGTGGAAACCTGCCAATGAAGTCTCAAAAATTAAACATCAGTTCTCAAGTAAAATTATGCCAGCAGCACAGAATAAGAGACTCCAGGAATTTTACTAACCAGGTTAATAAAAACAGCCTTTTTCATTAGGCTTGTCAATGAAGTCTGTAGTTTTCCTAGAAACAGTCAAAGATTGATTGATTGATCTGTTTCCCTCCATAGGAGAAGAGTCACTGACCATTTTCCTGGACAAGCAGAAGCTGAATAAGAAGTCAGAGGGCAACAGCAATAGCTCGGTGGTCTCTCTGGAGCTGCTCCATCAGCTGGCAGCTTCCTATTTCACAGACCGAGAGAGCACACTGAGGCGACTCCACCACCTCCAGATCGCCACCTCTGCCATTAAGGTACTGCTTAATCAAATTCTACACTTCAGAGCTTTGCTGACAAATATCTGCTTCAGAGTGCAGCGCGTAGAGCTTATCGCATGTGTAAACCACTTTTATTTTCTAAACTCAGACTTTTTATTCACAACTCTCCAGATTTGCAGTCGTGGGGTGGACGCACGGTCATTAATAATCCAATAAAACGGTTCCTTTGGGTTATGTTGCTCTTACTTGGCTGCAGATAAATAACAAACAGTACCCACAAACAGTTGCATTTAAAGATTATTGTCACGGTGAAAGGTTCAAGGGATTAAACAGCGTGTGAGAAACCAACTTTCTTTCTTTTTATTTATTTATTTATTTATTCATTTATTTTTTACCAACATGCAGGTTTGATTAATGCTTAGTCTATGCACTATAGCCCTCAAATACACAAAGCTCTGGCAAATATAAACTTTTTCAAAAATCTCAAAGGGAAAAGTGCACTCATGCCGGTACATATTGTACTCTTATGCCCTCCATCTAGTACAGGGTACAGCGCCTTTCCTAGTTTTATTTATTTTTATGTGGATGACTATCTACATATTTCACAGGAAAAATTATGATTAATCTCCAAATGCCCATCCGTTCGTCCGTCCGTCCATCCATCCATCCATCATCTTTACCCACTTATCCATGCAGGGCCGTGGGGGCTGGTGCCTATCCCCGGCAATCTCTGGGCAAACAGGCGAGGTACACCCTGGACAGGTTGCCAATTGCAGAGCAACACAAACATCACACACACACACACACATACACACACACACACACACACACACACACACACACACAAACACACACACACACACACACACACACACGCACACACACACACACACACACGCACACACACACACACGCACACACACTCACTCACACAAGGACATTTCAGTGAACCCAGACAATCATGTTGTTTGACTGTGGGAGGAAGCCAGAGTACCCTGAGAGAACCCATGCATGCACAAGGAGAACATGCAAACTCCATGCAGAAAGACTGCATGTTGGGATTTGAACCTAGGACCTTCTTGCTGCAAGGCAGCCCCATGATAATCTGCAATTACCATCATCTGTGTCACATTATCAAATTATAAGGGATTCCTTTACGGTCAGGGTTTCCTTTGTTTGTATCTCTATATCTGTTTAAATCTATGTCTATATTCTTTTTTCTCCTGATTTTAGTTGAATTAATGTTTTTTCCTTCCTATTAAAACAAGGATGAAAACAAACCCAGGCACAGATCTTGGCTTCCATGAGGTAACAGCAGGATTGTGGGTGGGTAGGTGGTCCCTGCTTCCATACTTACATTTAAGTAACCAATTTGATTGACATTACTAGTCAGTTAAGCATAAACAACTTTACATGCACCTGATACATGATGGCTTTTTTCAAAATGCACTCGTTGAAAACTCAGGGGTGAGATCGGCTCTCAGACCATTTTTGTTTCCAAAAACCCTTTTATAAATTTGAGCCTGAAGTACTCAATTGCTCTCCCCCACAGAGCCTTGAATGGTTGAGCATGGCAAACACGAAGCCCAGAGACCTCCTGCAGTGGGTGCAAATAGCTGTTACCTTGAGGAAGAAAGATCAAAAAAATTCTGAAGGCATGGAATAGAATTTTAAAAATTGTAAATAACTGTTTTGATCAACATTTTCATAACAAATTTTCAAATTTGGAGTCTAAGTGAACACAAGAGAAAAACAGAGAAAAATAAAAGCATAAAACCTTACGATAGTCTCCCTCGAGAAGGAATTTTAAAAAATGCATTCAATGGAAAAAGTAAGTTTCAACAAATCTTACTAATTGTCAGCTGACTATGTCAGGAATGAAATCTACATATTTCCATGACTAGATTTCAAAAGCATGAGTCTTAATAATATAAAAGTTTTATCTGCTCGATTTGCAGTTTTTTTTCTGTAATAAAAATCTAATGAGCAGCTTCTACACAAGGAAGGATGTAAACAACATGGCTGTTTAGACCTTTTTTCCAGACGAGTCTATTTTTTTTTTTTAGTTTTATTTCAATTAGTAACAATCTGTCAGTTAGACATCCAGCTCAGCATCTTTTGAATAAAAAATAACATTGCACAGTTATTAGTTTGATTATAAAAACTGTTGCAACTGTATGGATTGGACTGGAAACAGTGGGGTTGCTTTAAACATTAATGGATCCAAGCAGATTTCAAGAGCTATATGAGGCATTTGATGTGAGAAATCTTGCATAATGCAATAAAATTAGAAAAGGAGTAAAAGCTGCAGCACATGAGAATAATGTTAAAAATCCAGTTAAATTACAGATGGTTGGTTTAAAAAATGTTAAATTGTAAAATGCAATAAGCATAATTCTGCGCACACGAAGACGCATAAGAGACCTGGATGATGAAACTCAATGGTTAAAGGAATCACGTGAAGCGCTCCGTCGCGCGTCAAGACGGTACCGTAGGAGGCGAGCTGCCATGGTTCGCCGCATGCTACAGGAGCGAGCTATCTAGATGCGCACAGCATCCCCCGGTCCCCTCCTCCCCCTCCTCCCTGTCCGTGACAAGTCAGGACCTGTTACTAGAGGCGTTGTCCGGTTTAATTACGGAAAACGTTATCCAGATGTTTGTATTCAGACACAAAGGTCTTACGGACAGAGTCCTGAACATTTCCGATTTTCATGGCCTCTCTGAAGGGGGCTTAACATTATCAAATTATGTGTCGCCACCTCAAAAACAAATTTAACACGCAATCGTTCATGTCGGCTCATTTCCTTTTATGTTTTCTGTCTTTTATTTGTGCCTGATGAGTGGAGTGGAGTGAATAACCTGTTTTCTCCTCCGGTGACACAAACTACCGGTGCGGCCGGCACGCAGCGCACACTCCTCTATTTTCGCGGTCGGTAGATGTTTTAGAACTGCAGTTCAAAGGTAACTCATAAGGTGAAAATATATGAAGCCAGGTAGCAGTTTTTCTTTAGGATTGAGAGGAGATGCAGGAAGATAATAAACAGAGACAGGACAGAAAAAATAGACAAATAAAGACAAGTTTGTTTTTGTACCTGGTGGTTGCAACAAACAGACACCTTTGAAGGTAATCAGAAGTGAGAAACAGAAAATGAAATAATTATTTTAATGTTTAGAGCAGCAGGAACTCTGAGAGGCTGCAGGCGCATCAGTGAGTTAGCCGCTTCAGGTGTGTGACGTCATCAGTCGAAGTCGACAGGTCTGGTGCAAAGGGTTCCTGAACCTTTAGATCAGGGCGCCAGACCTCAACACACTAGATTCAGTGGTTGAGTCACCTGTGCAGCAGCTCATCAGGCTCTGCAGAAGCCTGTTAATCACCTGTTGATAGAAATCAGGTGTGTTAGCAGGTTAAACCCAAAACGTGAAGGATACCGGCCCTCAAGGCCCGGAACAGCCCTGCTTTAGATGGTTTCTCAGTCTAAGTTGAATTACTGAAATAGTTTTGCACCAGCTTATATTCCCACCCCTAATATTCTATACAATTATCTTGTAAATGGAAACACAGAAAAACGTGCCAAACTTACTTGTTTTCAGCAACAGAATATGATCATAAATACAAACAAACGCCACCCACTGGGAGACAGAAATTGTTTGTGCTACGTGATGATTTAAGTATGTGGACCACTTACTTTTCTATGTTGTTCTACATGAACTCATCACCCAACAGGAAGGGACACTGAGTGGGATGTACTTGACCCGCATCCATGAGCGCTTCTGGGCTTTGAGTCGCTGCAACACCAAGTAGGCGGTGGGAGCAGCATGAATCCACAAATAAAGTGGAGAAACTTTAGTCACACATCCATTTAAGTAACTTAAAAAAATTTAACAATAACAACAAACTAGATTTGTATTCATGTCTGTGTGAAATCTGCTCTGGGGCATTAAGAGAGATGGACTCTGTGTACAGTATTTTTACCCCAGAGCGCCAAAATCTGAACTTCAGATAGACTTAACCTCTTTATAAATCTCATCATGCTGGGATAACAAATAAGAAATAAAAAGAATATTTCTGTTTGCCAGTATTTGGAGTTGTATCGTACAAAAAGGTCAATTTTCACCTGTACATTGACCAACATAATAAGCTTTCGTCTACAGAAATAAATCCACTTTCTGTTTGACCTTCCAAACCCACAAGGTTCTTTTCAGTGTGTGTTTACATACAGAAGACAAAACATCCAGACAAACATTCTCTCCCAAGGTCTTTCGCTCTCTGCATTAAAGCTAGACGTCAACATTCTTCACTCTGAATAAAGGAAGACTCCATGACTTTTACAACTCATGAGCTTACAATAATAATATGTGATGAATGAACAAGATGTTTAAAAGAAATGTTTGAATACCGTAAATCCTCTAATAATAATAATTTACGGTAACCTGTGCTCAAACCAATAATGGCTTAAAAATGAATATTGTTCTTACAATGATCCATTTATATCACAAATCATTGGTTTAAGCACATGTTATTCAACCATTTCATTTAAACATCTTGTCCATTGAGATATTCATATTTTAATAGACCAGAAACCTGACATTTGGGAGGGTGACTGTAGACTGGGGCAAGAGCGTCCTTTTGAGGGCTCGGTGTGCAGGGGTGCACTCTGGAGGACCCTCGATCTACACGTAGGTGCAGCCAGAAAGATCAGTCAGCCATTAGTGGTACAGGGCGACCTTCAACCCCCCTCTGGTAGGTGAGGGACCTTTTATTTTTATGATCACCTAATAAATAAATATATAAAATTTTGACTGATTAAATCCCAAACACAATGTTAACAACCTTAAAACATTTCAATCAATGGAGCAAACAATGGAAAAAATATGTTTTCTCTAAATTCCATATTTTTATCATATATAGATAAAAGTCTTCTTGTTTATGCCACATAAGACCCGCCTTATTCTGATGTCTTTGTGGATAATGCACATTATTAGGTGATCATAAAAATAAAAGGTCCCAGTTGAGCGATCCACTCACTAAAAAGGGC